ATACAAGAAAATATATACAATTATATACAGATATATATTCAGGTGCCTCTCACGTCCCCCCACCCCAGCAACTCCCACAGCACTTCCCTGAACTGGGAAGAGTCCCGAGGAATCCCGGAGCTGCTGGAGAAAGCGGAGAGTGATGAGGGTCGAGCTCGAGCCTAAGGGTCGATGGTGATGGATGAACAGAGTCCTCCCTGGACGCCGGCCATGGACGGAAGAGAAGGGGAGAAGAAGAAGGAAGGAAGTTGTCTTCTGTGATCTCTGACCTTCCTTTGAGCTTACGTAGATATATGGAATGGAATATCTTTGGCCAGTTTTGCTGTCTGTCTAACTCAGCCTCCTACGGGGGGGTCACAGATCTCCCTGTAGTGTCTGAGCCAGCAGAGTGCAGGTGCAGCCTTGAAGCCTCAGTAGTTAGAAAAACATTCCACTGTCTTATCAGCCTAGCAGAACACAGAGTTGCTAGTTAAAAGAAAGCTTACTGAAGGAAAAAAAAATCAGTAAAAAGAAAAATTGGCTTCATCCTGGCTCAAACCAGGACAAGTCTTTAATCACATTCAAACTTATCAAGATAGCAGACTACCAAAATGAAATATATAATAAGTAATAAAAAACCAATAATTATTGAGAATCAAGCATCATTAAGTAGATTTAAAAGAATTTATCTATTCTCTAAGAACATTTTAAACATATATTCACCACTAATGTTCTTCCATAAAACATCAGTAGTGCCCTGATGTGGTTAACACGCAGTAAATGAAAAAAAAAACTGCATGCTTAGCAATGCGTGGTGAAATGATGCTCAGTACTGTCTGAACGGCAACAACTTTGGTGTAGAAAAGAAGAGATATTAATAAGAAATACCAAAATCTAATCTAGATGGAGAGAACACTCCTGTGCAAGACGGCTGTAAAGGGTCTGCATAGATCATAACTCACAGATACACACTTGATCCAAAATGGTGCTAGTGAGCAGCTTCTACAAGAGCCACAGAATCAGTTCTCCCATGCAGGGGAGTAAAACAAGTTGAAGACAAAATTAAATTACCAAAGCTCCCTTTTTTTCCTTCACATTAGCCATTTATTTCTATCACACTCAACTTTCTCCAGCTGGTTAAAACACAACACCCTCCCACATTTCCTTATAATTTCACCTAGAAGGTAACCTGCAGGTAACCAAAACTTCTCTTCTGTAAGCACCATATATCACACATCAGACCATCTATATCTGGCTCAACATCCAAACCACTGCCCCAGTGGCAGCTGCCAGAACAGCAGCTCCACAGAGCAGCTCTCCTGAGGCCCCAGCACAACTAGCAGCCCCCAACCATGGCCTCTTGTTGCTGCCACCCCACTTAGTGCCAGTGCTGCTGCCCTCCCAGTCCCCTCACACCCAGCAGGACACGCCCACAGCTGACTGCTGCTCCATGGGGACCAGCCACAAGGAGAAGAACATGGCTCCTGTTGGCCATGGCCACCCAGGAAGTTATGTTGTGCCCCAGCCTGGGGGTCCCTGAGACCTCATGCCCACCGCCCCCACACACCTTCTCTGGGCATTAGTGACCTGCAGGGCACAGCTGGTCACCTTCAGCTTCTCATGGCCCATGATCTGGCTCTTGAGATTATGCAGGGAGATATAGAGGCTGCTGAAGGTGACTGTAGCATAGTTCAGCCTGAAGAACTTGCAGTAGACATGGGACATGGTTGAAGAGAGATGCCAACACCCCAGCAGCCACACAGGAGCCAATACACAAAGTGCCTTGGGTGACACTTCCTCAGCGGTCTCAGATGTTCTAGAGGGTGCCAGAACAACAACTTCATAGGCAGCCTGTCTCTGCCCCAGGATTCCAGGTTCCCCTGCTGTTCCCTCAGCCTGTCACTGTGCTGGGGGATCCTGGTATCCCTACTGTTCCCCTGGCCTGTCACTGCTCAGTGTCCTGTCACACCCCCAGGCTTCTCACTGCCCAATGTCCCTCCTGTTGCCCCTCTGGCCAACTACAAATTGTTTTGATTTGGAAAGATCCTTGAAAATCATCTAGTTCCAACCCCCGTGCAGGGACACCTCCCACTACACCATGTTTTTCTAAGCCCCATCCAACCTCTCCTTGAACACTTCCAGGGATGGGGACTCCACAGCTTCCTTAGGCAACCTAGGCCAAAGTCTTACAGCCCTTTAGTGAAGAATTTCTTCCTGATGTCTAACCTACATTTCCCCTCTTCTAGCTAGAAACCATTTCCCCTCATCCTACCACTCCATGCCCTTGTCAAAAGTTCCTCCCAGCTTTCCTGTAGTCCCTTCAGGTACTGGAAGGTCTCCCTGGACCCTTCACTTCTCCAGGCTGAACAACCCCAACTCTCACTCTGCTTGTCTGCAGAGCAGAGCTGCTCCAGCCCTTATATCATCTCTGTGGCACTCACTCCAAGACCTCTTAAATAACCTCCACTTAAATAATGATGCTTTAATAATGGGCAGGTACCCACCAGATGCTCAGTGGAATTAGCTCATTTTTCTCCTCTCTCCAAACCACAAACATCCACTGTCAGCCTGTTGTTTTTCTCACGCTGACACAAGAAAAGGTCAAACTGAGTCTTGTTTGTAAATGGGGAATCCCTTTATCTATCACTGAGTCCCAGGCACCCAACCAACCAGCTTGTGATGGCCCTGTCCCACAGAATGAACTGCAAGACAAACGGAGATAAAAAAGAAGGAAGACAAACAGGATGAACTACAGGACAGAAGGAGAAAGGGGATGAAGAGGACAAGGAACATAGCAAGAGAATGAGAACAAGGAGGAAGAAGAGAAATAAATAAAGGAAGATGAAGAACATGAGTAGGAGTAAGACAAAGACGAAGTGGAAAAGGAACACAAGCAAAAGAAGAGGAACAGATGGCACAGGAACAGGAGCAGGAGGAAGAAGAGAAAGCAAAGAAGGATGAACAAGGAGAAAGCGCAGAAAATAGACAAACAAAATATGGGAAATTACAGGACTATTAGTCTGACTTCAGTACCAGGGAAGCTGCTGAAGCAGATCATCGTGAGTACCATTATACAGTACATGCAGAACAATTAGGTGATCAGGCCCAGTTTGCATGGGTTCATGAAGGACAGGTCCTGTTTGCCTAAACTCATCTCCTTCTACAACAGGGTGACCTGCTTATTGGATGAAGAAATGTGGATGTTGTTTGCCTTGACTTTAGCAAGGCCTTTGACCAGGTTTCCCACAGCATTCTCCCAAAGAACGTGGCTGCTTGTGGCTTGGATGTGTACATGATCTCCTGAATAAAAAAAAATTGTTTGGATGGCCGGGTCCAAAGAGTTGTGTTCAATGGAGTTAAATCCAGCCCAGAGCCAGTCATGAGTGGTGTTGCCAGTGCTCAGTGGTGTGGCTGCTCCTGTTTAACACTGATTATTTGGATCAGGGTACAGAGTGCACCTTCAGTAAATTTGCAGATGACACTAACTTGTGTGAAGTGTTGATCTCCTTGGGGGCAAGGAGGCTCTGCAGAGGGTTCTGGACAAGCTGGATCGATTGACCAAGGCCAATTGTCTGAGTTTCAATAAGGCCAAATGTTGGTTCCTGCACTTGTGCCACAACAATCCCAGGCAATGATCCAAGGCTTAGGGAGGAGTGGCTGGAGAGCTGCTCAGCAGAGAGGGACCCGGGTTGACATCAGCTGAACATGAGCCAGCAGTATTGTGCCTAGGTGTCCAAGAAGGCCAACACCACCCTGCCCTGCATCAGGAAAAGTGTGACCAGCAGAACCAGGGAGGTGAGCCTGCCCCTCTACTTGGCCTTGCTGAGGCTGCACCTCAAGCACGGGGTGGGGGGGGGCGGATTTGGGCACCACAGGATAGGAGGGATGTCAAGGAGCTGGAGAGAGTGCAGAGAAGGGCAACTAGGATGAAGAGGTGGGGGGGAGTCTTATGAAGAGAGGCTGAGGAAGCTGGTGCTGTTCAGCCTGGAGGAGGCTAAGGGGAGACCTCTTTGCTCTCTACAACTGCCTGAAAGGAGGTTGCAGTGAGGTGGGTATTGGCCTCTTCTCTCTAGTGACCAGCGATAGGACAAGAGGAAACTGGGTCAGTTGTGCCAGAGGAGGTTCCAATTGGATATTGAGAAAAGTTTCTTCACAGAAAGAGTGGTGAAGCATTGGAACAGGCCACCACCAGGGAGGTGGTGGAGGCACTGTCCCTGAAAGGGTTCAAAAAACGAGTGGATCTGGTGTTTCAGAAGATGACTTAGTGATTAGGGGTTGTATGGTGGATGGTTGGACTTGATGATCTTGAAGATCTTTTCCAACCTTGATGATTCTGTGATTCTATGAATCTACTCTCCCTAGAGGAGTTTAAGGGCAGGTTGGATGTGTAATGCAGCATTAACCAAACTCTGATTTCAAATCAACTGCTTGTGGGGTGTAAATCTCTCATCTGGGCCTACTGCTAGTTGTAAAAGCCTTTTCTGTGAGTTTATCTGTAAGTTTTAGGGAAGAAATACAAGGGTCCTTGAAGAAGAAAGAAACCATTCAACTGCCATTAGGGATGCTGCTGTAACCAATTCAACTGCAGAGTCAGCAGAGATAAGCGGGAGAAGAGACAGAACTGAGGCCAAATGTTCCTGTGAGGATGACTCAAGGATGAAGTAAACGACCCCCAGGAGCTCCTAACGGACTTAACACGCATGCGATAATGGCCGGACACTTATGTAAATGATTTATCAGGAAACTAATGAATGTGTAAACTGTTTCTTAGAAATATCACACATAATTATCAGCTATATATCTCTCACCCTAAGGCGCGCACATTTTTGGAGGAGCCACCCCCTATGCGTCTGGCGCAGTGAATAAAGAACACTGACTTAATAGTACTTAGATTGTTGGGTGAACTTTCTTTGTTTCAGATGAGACTTGTGCAACCTGGTCTAGTTGTCCTGGTTTGAGCCAGGATGAAGCCAGTATTTCTTTTACTGACTTATTTTCCTTCAGTAAGCTTTCTTTTAACTAGCAACTGTGTGTTCTGCTAGGCTGATAAGACAGAGGAATGTTTTTCTAACTACTGAGGCTTCAAGGCTGCACCTGCCCTCTGCCGGCTCAGACACTATGGGGAGATGTGTGACCCCCCCCCCCCCAGTAGGACGCTGAGTTAGATGGACAGCAAAATTGGCCAAAGATATTCCATTCCATATATCTACGTAAGCTCAGAGGAAGGTCAGAGATCACAGAAGACAATTCCTTCCTCCTTCTTCTCCCCTTCTCTTCCGTCCATGGCCGGCGCCCGTGGATGACTCTGTTCATCCATCACTGTCGACCCTTAGGCTCGAGGTCTCATGACCCCCATAACTCTCTGCTTTCTCCAGCAGCAGCTCCGGGATTCCTCGGGACTCTTCCCAGTTCAGGGAAGTGCTGTGGGAGTTGCTGGGGGTGCGGGGAAGGTGAGAGGCTTTTGCCCATACCTGAATATATCTGTATATAATTGTATACATTTTCCCTGGGTGGGGGGGAGGGGATCAAGAGCACTGTTGTCGGACTTGAGTCAAACAGTGACACTAGTGAAAGGTGTCCCTGCTCACAGCAGGGGGCTTGAAATATGATGAACCTTAACCATTCTATGATTCTATAATTAAGTTTTCTTTTGCTTTAATTAACTGAATTAGTTTTGGTGAAGAAATTTTATTAAAGGAAAGTCTAACAATGTGGACTAAAAATTAACTCAGGGTGGCCCTCCTTCAGCAGGGTAGTGGGCCAGAAGACCCTTCCTTGCAGTGAGACTCAACACACACAGTGTCAGTACTGCCAGCAGTGGGCAGCACCTGAGACGTGTTCTGCACAATGCAAAACAGACATGGTGACCTGCCAGTCCCTGAGGAGCCGATGGCATGGCAGGGGTTTGGTGTAAGCTATGCCATTCTGGCCATGCCACCACCAGTCCCTGCCATTGTGCTGCCTTCTGTCTCAGGGCTGCTGCTGCAATCTGAGCCTGCCCGCGTCCACCCCATCACCTACCAGCTGGTACATGCTGGCATCTGGCAAGAGGTGCCAGGGCCTTTGAGGGCAGTGCCCGTGAGCGCAGTGCTCTTGAGCTGCTGCAGCTCCCCAGTGGAGCACAGCTTATCCGCACGGCTGTTCCCTGTCCCTCTGCCTATGGCTGGGGACAATAGATGATGATAGTGCCACATCAGCCCATAGGGCTTGGGCTGATGGGTGTGGTCCAGGGGGAACCCCTGATCCCCACAGACTCCTTCCCTCTCCACGTCCCATCCTGCTCTGTCACCACCTCACCTCCCTGCCCTGCAGCTCAGCACTGAAACAGAACATTAACCAGACTCTGACTTCAAATAATTAACTACTTGTAGGGTGTAAATCTCTCATCTAGGCCTACTGCTAGTGAGTTGTAAAAGCCTTTTCTTTGAGCTTATCTGTAGCTTCAGGGAAGAAATAAAAAGGTCCTTGAAGAAGAAGCCATTCAGCTATGAGTAGGGATGCTTCTGTAACCAGTTCTACTGCAGAATCAGCAGAGATAAGCAGGAGAAGAGACAGAATATGGCAACGCCACGTGTGACCCTCAGGCTTATTCACAAATCCTTCCACATTGAGGGGCAGAGGGGAATCACAAAAGCACCTGACAGCAGGGAGCCCCCCAGTACCAGCTCGGGACAGTGGTCCAGGGCACTTCTTACCCACCCACACTTTGGCCATCTCTGACCAGC